ACATTGGAGAAGCAGTGGTGATTTGAAGAATTAAAAACAGACTTATGCATGTGCTTAACTCTACTCAATGAAGTCAAAGACTACTCATTTACTTACATTTGCAGGATTGCAGTTTTAGATGCGCTTGCCTGGTGGTGTATCCATCCACCTCCAACAGCACAGCTGATGCCTCATGTTCTGAGGAGGAGGGGTTGCCTTGTATATTAAAAATGTACACACTTGGACTGAAGTGGAGATGAACGTAGGAGATAGCTGTGTAGAGAGTCTCTGGGTTAAGCTAAAAGGGGTAAAAAACGAGGGTGATATCATGCTAGGAGTCTACTACAGGCCACCTAGCCAGGTGGAAGAGGTGGATGAGGCCTTTTTTAAACAATTAACAAAACTATCCAAAGCCCAAGATTTGGTGGTGATGGGGGACTTCAACTATCCAGACATATGTTGGGAAACTAACACAGCGAGGCACAGGCTATCCAATAAGTTTCTGGACTGCATTGGAGACAACTTTCTGTTTCAGAAGGTTGAAAAAGCTACCAGAGGAGAAGCTGTTCTGGATTTGGTTTTAACAAATAGGGAGGAACTAGTGGAGAACTTGAAAGTGGAAGACAGTATAGGGGACAGTGACCACGAAATAATAGAGTTCATGATCTTAAGGAAAGGTAGAAGGGAGACCAGCACAATTGAGGTAATGGATTTCAGGAAGGCAGATTTTGATAAGCTCAGAGAACTTGTAGGTAAGGTCCCATGGGAAGCAAGACTGAAGGGAAAAACAACTGAGGAGAGTTGGAAGTATTTCAAAGGGACGTTGTTAAGGGCCCAAAAGCAAACAATTCCGCTGTGTAGGAAAGATAGAAAATATGGCAAAAGACCAGCTTGGCTTAACAAGGAGATCTTGCACAATCTCAAAATAAAAAAGGAGTCTCATAAAAAATGGAAACTAGGACAAATAACAAAGGATGAATATAGGCAAGCAACACGGGAATGCAGGGGCAAGATTAGAAAGGCAAAGGCACAAAATGAGATCAAACTAGCTACAGGCATAAAGGGAAACAAGAAGACCTTTTATAAATACATTAAAAGCAAGAGGAAGACCAAGGACAGGGTAGGCCCACTGCTTAGCGAGGAGGGAGAAGCAGTAACAGGGAACTTGGAAATGGCGGAGATGCTCAATGACTTCTTTGTTTCGGTCTTCACCGAGAAGTCTGGAGGTGTGCCTAACGTAGTGAATACAAGCAGAGAGAGGGTAAGTTTAGAAGATAGGATACACAAAGAACAAGTTAAAAATCACTTAGGAAAGTTAGATGTCAGCAAGTCACCAGGTCCTGATGAAATGCATCCCAGGATACTCAAGGAGCTGATAGAGGAGGTATCTGAGCCTTTAGCTATGATCTTTGAAAAATCATGGCAGACAGGGGAGATTCCAGAAGACTGGAAAAGGGCAAATATTGTGCCCATCTATAAAAAGGGGAATAAGAACAACCCAGGAAACTACAGACCGGTCAGTTTAACGTCTGTCCCAGGGAAGATAATGGAGCAGGTAATTAAGGAAATCATATGCAAACACTTGGAAGGTAATAAAGTGATAGGGAATAGCCAGCATGGGTTTGTGAAGAACAAGTCATGCCAAACTAATCTGATAGCTTTCTTTGATAAGATAACGAGCCTTGTGGATAAGGGAGAAGCGGTGGATGTCATATACCTAGACTTTAGTAAGGCATTTGATACGGTCTCGCATGATATTCTTATTGATAAACTAGGCAAATATAACTTAGATAGGGCCACGATAAGGTGGGTGCATAATTGGCTGGATAACCATAGTCAGAGAGTTGTTGTTAACCTCTAAAAATTTGAAATGTAGGTCAGACCCCTTTGGAAATCTTAGATGTACTCTGTGGACCCCCATGTTGTCCACAGATCACAGTTGAAAAATCACTGTTCTATGGCAACAATGACCTTTTACAGACCCTCATGGACATAGTCTGTGGACGACATGGGTCCACAGGCCTGAAATTGAAAAACACTGGCCTGCACCATTAATGACCCAAGGGAGCCTTATTCTTGAACCTCATTGAAATTTCTTTACATAGTTAAAGAATCTATACTATAAATATTACTGCATCAGAAATAATTTCTGGTAAGTCTTTAAAGTCATTGAGCCAAATTGACTTTAGATACTTGCACACAGCACACTGAATTCAGTGAGAGTTGTACTTGTTAATGTGAAAGCAGGATTTGGACTTTCCTCTTGCGGTATCTATGAGACAATGTATGTGTGCCTGTATCTATAGTGTAGACGCTAAATTCCTTGTATCTTTGTAAAGTAGCCACACTATAAAGCCCTGTATAGACAAAGTGAAAACTGTAGTAGGATACTATGAAGCAACTCCATGGAATATTTGCAATTTCGTAAAAGAAAGGATTTAATGTTCTCCCTTCATTGCTGTACTTTGTAAATTAAATAATCTGGTAATATAAAAATGTATATAGGTACTAGTTCTAGTTATATCTGAGACTAAAAAGCCATTGAAAGTTGTGTTGTGAATGTAATACTATAACCATTTTGAAAGTCTCAGAGAGGTAGCCATGTTAATCTGTAACTAACAAAATTTTAAAAACAACAATGGTCCTGTAGCACCTTAGAGATCCACATGGGTGGATCCTTACAGCTGCTCACAACCCAGCTAAAGTGAAATGTGGGTTCTTCTGCCCACAGATAATATGGCAGGGCTAAGCTGTTAGTGGACTGAGGGCAGATCTACACTGAACCTGGAAGGAAGGCTTAAGGTACACAACTGCAGCTACGCAAAATGCATACTTGGAGTAATCTTACCTTAAGATGAGCCGTGGTGGCGTCCACACTGAGGGAGGCTGACAGGAGCAAAAGCCTCCCATCAGCTTCCCTTACTCCTCACAAAGAGAGGAGCGCTGAACACTGGCAGGAACTGCCTTTAGCATTCGATTTACGGGTGTATACTAGACCCGCTAAATTAAACTGCCAGAGTGTCAATCTTCCAGTAAAAATAGACATACCCTGAATTTCAAGCTACCTCTAATCTAGCCCCAATTCTGCCCTTGAATTACTCAGTAATTAGGATGCAAATCATTAACCACTCTGTATGAAATCTTGCCCCATTCCAATCTGCTGGACTTTTCCAATGGAAAATAAGGCTCAGATTCCATCTACCTGGGGTACAAAGCTAATGCCACCTTTCTCCATCTATGCAAAGCACTGGGGGTGGGGGGTGTCTCAGCTGAACATACTGTATCCCTTCAGTATCACTGTGGCTAAAGCTGGCCCCATTTGCCGCTTCCTTAGCGCCTCAACCCCAGGAGCATGGTGCCTACCCAGGAAGCTCAACATAGTTAGTGGTGAGGGAGCAGCTTGAGCCGATGATGGGATGTGGTACGACAGGGGTACTCAACACGCGGGCCACATGCGACCCGAGATTCATTTGTTTGTGGCCGCAGTGGAGTTTGGGTTTACACAGGGCCCGCAGGTGGGATCCTTTGAACATGGCCTCCACTGGGAACACACTCCACAACAATGAGGCATCTCCCAGGCGAGGTGAACACTGAAAGATACTAGACTGGCTGGCTGGAATAGATGGGTACAGAGTGTCAGCGTATCTAGCCCCCAGGGAAGAGGGGCTGGGAGCGCCAGAGCATTGTGGGAAGTGTAGGCTGCTTAGCCTTGTGGGCAAAGTCTGAGAGGTACTGACTAGGTCACACTGGCCACGTTTGGGTCCGGTGTCGTGGCTTAAGGCTTAATTTTTTGTATTCATGCCCATCAGTGTAAAAAGCTATTTGCATATATATTTGCATGTATAATGCAACCACACTTAAGTTGTGGCCCCCGACCTTCCAAAGTGGAGTAGCCCTGTGGTATGAGATCCTGCCTGCAACAGGCTTCATGGGCTGGTTCCTGGCCCTGCCCAGCTTGTCCCTCATCCCCAGATACTGCAACCGGGCAAGGAGAAGAGACCTGCAGGCCATGCCTACCCAGTGCTACCCGATGGAATGGAGTTAATGAATGTTTTCGGTCTAAGGGACTGGAGAAGCAGTTCCCGGAGTGAAGAGCCCTGGTCCCTGTTCAAAGCAGTTGGGCTCCAGCAAACAGGAACTTATGTGTCTGTCCTGTGTTGTGTGTTGCACCTAAACCTAGAAAGTGGGGGAAGCGCTTCCCAATAGGGGCACGAGGAGGCTTAACCCGTGACACGAAGCACCGCAAACCCGTGTCTGCCCACCAGAAGCCCCCCGTGTTATTTTTAATTGGCAGGGGGGGGGGAACGCT